CGAATACCCACGTAGGCATTTAGGAAGTCAAGTTAGGCGAACGACATTTTTCGATTAGTTCATCATTAGGCTAATACAAGTTGTTTTAGTTGTTGAAGTGTAAGCAGCCAATCAGTGGTACTAAGGGAGAGGGGTGTTTAAGGATCAAATTGGTCACATTCTAGTCATAATTAGGGATTAGAGAGGGAAAAAGAGGGAAGAGGTCCTACAATTAGTTCATGTTACCCCGTCGTCCTTATCTCGCGCTATGTTGGGAGGCGTGATGAGGTCTCATGACGGCATGGGTGGCCTGAGGATGGTTCTCGTCGCTGTTCCGCCATCGGTCCGCAGCGTGTGGACACTTGCTGTCTCTGGCTCCTCACTGACTCGCGGCGTAGTTGGAAGCGTTCGGACAAATAGTGATTTGGTCTTCGGCCACGGAAACCATAGTGCACTTACAAACGCGCTCTGCGCGCATAAGATAGGGTTAGTGAGCCGTGTGGCGGCTGCGTCTGCCTGATGATTAATTATTGGAAACTGTTGTTCGCCTAACTCGGCTTCCTAAATAACATACAGTTTCTGGCACTGATTCTTTCTTTTGGAAAGATATTTCTCATCAAGGGTCGTTGAACATACAATGGTAGCTGTCAAACATTCCGCCACTGATGTCAGACCTCAGGGCTGATGTTGACGACTTGGTCAAGAAGGTTCGTCATAACATATAATGATTTAATATGTCCGTGAGCATATATAGTTATGTTTAATATGCGTTTACCCCGCATCCCTTGAGTGATCGGTTATGCGGCTAACAATATTACACGCTGTGAAGGAATCTATGGTTGCAGTGTTGATTCGGTGGAAAGTTTTAAAAGCCCCCGGATGCGAATGGTTAAATTTATTAGATAAGTCCTGACAAACTTACATTTTAGAGCTCACGAGTTACGGGTTAAGAAACTATATATTTTATCACAAAACCTACTACATTATAAACATGTATCATAGGGTCAAGTTCGTACCTCAGCACCATTTACGATAAACGCACACGATATACTAACTCAAGTTTTCCGCAGTACAATGGGTAAATCAGTGACCTGTGCACTAAATCGAAAATTAAAAATGAAAGCAATTAATGTTATTGGCAAAATACAGTCCAAGCTAATTTACTGTGATTGCTCATAGCATAGGATATGCATTCCAGCCTACCTCGGCTTTTGAGTAACATTTAACAAAAGCCTAATAGGCTGGATTCCTACTTTAGCAGTTAGAGACTACTGTGTATTGCGTTTTTTAAAGTAATATTTCGCAAAGTAGCTCTTACTGGGGACAACTAACTGTCTGTCTGCAGGCTGACAAAATTCTTAGCATGCAAGATTCTAGGAAAACTTCTATTTTCACGTGATCTGTGGCCGTATATTTGTCTCGCAAAATAGCGTATTATATTGGAGAAATGTATTCCTGCATAGTTTTATAGAAACAGTCTTGCCTGAATAAATATTTTTTCTACTTGAAGAGAACTGCAGATTATAACAGTGGACGTTCACTACTTGCAGTAGTCACATATAGTAGATTCAAAATAACCGCATCAGGCAGGTGTAATTATTGCTTTATAATCCACCTTCAAGCCGCTGTTTACTACTATTCCATCCCTAGTGTCGTTTTTTGAAATAAAATCTGTTCATTAATATCATCAGTTGGATAGGGGGGGGCGTTTGGCATCGCAGAATCTCGTATTATTGCTTGTTGTGCATGGAACGAAAATGGAGAGTATAACTTGCGCAGGCGGGGGTAAATGTGATTGTTGACGGACCGCTGGCCGACGAAAGAGAACCTTGTGGTACAGGCATTTTGCATTTTTGGTTGACTTTTGTGTTCGGCAGATTTAAAGTTTTGAACGGTAACCGCTTAAAGATTTACAACTCAAGAATAAACGTTAGTCCTTTTCACTATTTCTGCGCGTTCAGTCAGTGACGGCTACAGTTCTCTGACAAATTTAAGGCCTGATTGGGGTTTTTGGTTAATCAGGTTAACGAAGTAAATTAATTTATCGAGTTAAACCTGAGAATTATTTTTTGCTATGGAGTTTACTTTGATCAGATGAAACACTTTTCTGGATGCGTGCTTCCCTTTTTTATTACGTCCGATAGACCATAATAAAATGCAAACTAGCGATCCTTATTCACTCAACTCAGAATTTCCTTCAAGAAGATTATTCGAGTTCATTATCCACTCATGCAATAAAGCTTTGTGAACTATCCATCTATGCATTAGATTTATAGTCAAATGCGTATGGAGCTATAAAGCCGTTATATATAGTCCTATATCAATACTTAATGTATCTAAATTAGTATGCTTCTTTTATAACTTCGAAATTACAAAAATTCAACCTGTAGTTGCATCTTTCCTTCTTGATGAGAGAGTTTTTGTCAATCTCAATTTCATTTCTGCCAGTTCGCATGTAATTTTCGAAATATATTTTATAATGTCGTCCATAAGTATAGAAGAATTATAAATGAAGTCTTTAAATGCAACATTTTTATATTCGGCACCTCTATATACGAAGGAGAATTTACGTCCGACGCTATAAATGCTGTTTGCATCTAGATGGCTAATAGTCAATCATGTCCTATGCACAGCAGGGATAAGTAATCTAGGCAGATAGTATTGTCGGCGAAGACAAGAGAGACTGGAATGGCTATTTCAGGCTCATTAGCTGTTGTCAGCCAGTAATACCTAGCCCCAAGTGGTTCTCCGCTTAAAGTTCCAACTCGCAACCTTTATGATCAGTGAGCCGCTGTCTTGCCGGGTAAGATCGAGATCCTCTGTCAAGAAATTAGGCACTACGGGAGAGATGAATTCCGTCAGCGGCTTGGTGAATGCTTATCAATGAGCTAATTAATCTGCCGAGTCTACTGAAATCTAACTTCCAGTGGTATAATAAAATAATGCTTAGCTCGAAAAGAATTTCAAGCATGAAATTATGATGTTTAGTGTACATGACACTTTTTCAATTAACGAATCCAGGGCATCAAAAGTAATTTTGGAAAACTGTTTCACTTTACACTTTTTTAGCGAGGATGTACGATCTGCAAACATCATCGCTGCGTTTCCAAATGGCGTTGATTGTCTGGTGCTTGACAGAGAGTAAGTACCTCTCAGTTAATCCAATCTCCTCCCTATCCTCAGAATTTTACCTAATGCATCTCTGACATATGCCTCCCTCCGTCATTAACTAATAAATACCGGATTTATCTATCTTCTAAAGCTGGGTAGGAGATGCTCCTGTATTGGGACAAAACTCCAACAACTCTAGCCTGGGCGAAGCCGAATAGCGCAGTTCTATTGCTTTGAGCGATAACCCCGGAAATGGATCTCATAGCACGTCTGCCCATTTTTATGGTAGACTAGCGATGTATTTAACGCACTCTATCTTTCCAATTCGAACGCTTCCGTTTCCAAAGAATTAGAGAACACCCGGAGGTGGGTTCAGACGAACTTTTTAACAGGGGTTGAACCGTCAATTTCTACGATGTCCACCAACGGGGTGCAGTAATATGAAAGTAAACACGGTAATTTGCGCCGGATTATGGTGAAAGTTGACTCGCGCAATGTCCACCGCACC